TCAGAGGTTTGTACATTTACTTGCAATGTTTCTAATTGCTTTGGTCATGTGACTACAGTAGCTATGAACTTTGAACTTCAACATGAACTGTAATGGTGGTAGAACTGAAAGCCTGATTTCCAGCTGGAATTATTACCGTAAATTTGGGATGTGGAAAATTTAGCGGCGCAATAAATTCATGGTCGTGGTAACTGCGTACAAAAGTTTTCAACTTTCACACATCAGCATGAATGTGGTACGGCCATAACAAGGTCCAATGTCATGAATTTTATACTTCAATTAAGCATACTCAGTTTACACGGCAAAGCGCATCACCCACTTGCTTCTAGTCACTGATGGGAACCATTTGAGGCAGTTACAGCTCCGTGGTATTTAAGTGCCTGCAGTGCATGGAATGCAAGACCTCATCCCTCATTTAGGCTGAACAAGTGCTGCAGTTCCAGGTCATTCCTTCACCCTATTTTTTGCTATGAAACATGTCTGCGGAATTTCCTACGATTTTACCTCCTTTTTTTATAACGAAAGTAGATAATCCTGTTCCGTGTATTGCCACAGCACCGTTCTCAAATGGTGATAGTAGAGGGAACGAACCGTGCTTTTGAAAAAATTAGCTGAATCAGTGGACAAAATTTTAGTCCAAACTTTTTTCTCATTCTTTTCTGCTGAGTCTAGTCTTTTGACCATCATTCAGCATACAGCCGATTCACCTGCATATGGGTTCAGAATCAAGAAAGAGTGTTCAGGATTTTGAGCTCGATTTGAACGTTCACTCAGGATATAACTTAAGCACCCAAAAACAATACCGTGATGGCGAAGCTTTACCCAACAGGCATGCAGTTAGATAATCAAGTTTTGACCGTTTATTACGAAAATATTAAATTGAAATTTATGAGCCCAGAACTGAAACATTCTTGAAGAAAAGTAAGTTAGATTTATCACACTGGAGGTCGTACACGAATACCTTCGCAATATGCTCTGTTTATCGTTTTCACGTCGAGAAACGAGGGCTGTTCTCTTTGCCCGATGGTCCTCTGATACGCGGGTTCTACGGTTTCAATCGTTCTGAGTTCGTAGTGAATCGAAAATGCCTTCACACCAACGAGGATTATTGCAAGTTTCAAAGTCATAACGCTTGTTCATAACGTACCGTCGGTCCGTAGTGCATGACGGATCCCAAGTCGTATGGAATGCTAAGGTTGAGCAGCTGTTCGGGACTTCTTGTGAGAAAGTTGTGCAGCTGGCCTTTCATGATGTTCTCCGGAACGACGGTGATGTAGTTGCCGGCATCCGGTCGCGACTGCTCGTGCCATAGTCCAAGGGCATGGCCAAGTTCGTGCGCCGACACGGCCATCTGAAAGCAAATGCACTGTGCTTTAGCTGTAAGGGTGTTGAATATAGTTAATTTTATGCTACCGCTCTAACGCGGCAAAAATTGAGGACCAAGGCAACTGAGGCATTTCTTGTCGTTCAAATTCTGAGGGACATTGTTCTGCCGTCTGCGGGATCCGGAAGTAAACTGTGCATTCCAAATGGCATACGATTAAATCTTGATGGAAACGCTATGCTCCTTCAGCGTTTTGCGTCATCTTTATGGCCTGAAGTCCTCTGTGAGTTGCCCAATAACCAAATCTTATTAATTTGAATGAGAATGAAGCTTGAAATAAAAATACTATTTTTCATAGGTGAAAAATAATTTAAAGATTCAATTTGGCTTGCGATTGGTTTTAAGTCAGTTATAAACAAAATGAAACTGTTGTTCTAAAGAAATATTGTGGAAGACGGTTGGACCGTGTACAACAACACTAGCTTTTACTTGCAACCAGGGTTACTTAGCAGAATCGTATGAAGAGAGTCTTTATGCTCTTCTGAGCATAGAGAAATCTGCTCTAACTAAGGATTGAGAAATAAGGTTCTTTCTGTTGGTCGAGGACCAATTCTTCACCTCATTTCACGAACTACTCATT